ACCACAACTACTAGGAACTATTGGAAGTACATCACATGTAACGGGAGAGATGCTAAAGTTCCATGTCACCATGTACAACCAAAAATGCAGACCCTGAACTTGCACAAACCTTGACTAATAACAAGAATGGGCCTATGTACGTAAGAAACTGCATAAGCCATCGTGAATTAGCACACATTTGTGCCATCGTGAATTAGCACACATTTGTGCCATGCTGCATAAGTCTAATTAATATAAAACTAGCAGGACCAACAACACTGCTAGCTGGCTGCCATGGCTTTATCTAAGTACCCGCTATTGCGGACAAGCTTCATGCATTCGGTGAATTGCAACGATAGCTCTGAATTGACCTGGGGGGGTCGAGAGAGTGGCACACTCTTTAGTCGGATTTCTCCCATGGGTGGATCAAGCAGTTTGCTGAGAAAATCTTGAAGTTTTTCCTGCTTTTCACCTGCAATGTGAAAAACACAAGATTGTAAGCATGCGTGATAGAACCTGATTCAACCTACGTTCCCACATAGCATGTATGCACGAGATATTGTGGGATTCCAGCTTAATTTAAGTATGTGAAGCAAAATATCTCACGCTCAACTCACGATAAAAATCAGATGAATGCTATGGTAGACGATGAAACCAAACTCTCACACTCATTATAGAAACTACACCCTACAGGCAGGTATGTATAGAGTAATTAATTTAATTTCCCGAGCGCGGTGAGATAATCTGCTCTCACAACAGTAGCAAATAGTTACGACTAACGTATACTAAGGTGAAAAAGTCACAATATTTTCACATATTGTGGTCAACGTTTCTCACATCCCACACACATGGGCTGAGTGCATAGACTGCCATAGAGGAATCCCACTCAACACAAGATTTTCATACAATTACGGCTCATTTCCACTAATTATGCACCTATTCTCTGCTCGAACACACTCGGATACCTCACGCCTATACACCAGAAACGCACGCCGCACGCACGGCACTAACGCGCACACACACACACACCAACGCCACGACGCACGCCACACCGAACAACCAACCACGAGAAGAGACACGCACGCACAGACGTGCGTGCACGGTCTTACGCACCACACGCACGCACGCACGCTGCACGCGCACGCACGCACGCAGCACACACGCACCACACAGAGAGAGACGC